AGCTTTTCGCGCTTTCCCCAAGGCACTTACCATGTCGTTCCCAGTTCGTTCCAACCAGCAAAGCTTTTCACAAAGTTGTCACTTTTCGTGCTGCATCAGTCTCAGCCTCCGATGATGTCTTCACTTGGGACGATGTCGTTAGGATATCCAAACCGGTTCAGATCTCAGGGGCTACTCGGAAAATATCAAAATCTGCAATCGCACTTTCCTTGGTTAAGTTGTACAATACATTTTCTCAGCTGCCAAACAGAAACAGACCAATTGTTCGTTTATCTCTCCACAGTCCACTCCACATTTTGTTGAAACTGCTTGCAGGAATCGCACTCTGAGTTCCTTCCCTTTGTAATTGAGGACCATTCACAAAGGGTAAGCTCAAATTCCGTGAATTCAAAGAAGTGTTTACTTTCCCACCAGAAAATTCAAACTCTAATGGCAGTTGCATTCATCGCTGAGCAGTGAGCACAGGACAAGAGCTGTGGGAGATGTAATCAAAAGCTTAGGGGAAGAACATATTCCAGGTATAAGGAATGAGCTACGGTTTGTTTCTGCGATTTGCTCCACCTTTTTTTAACCTTGGTCTAGGTGATTAAACAGTGAATTATAATCAATTTTTGATGCATCTCTAGCAAGTCATCTTGGCTATATTAATCTGTATGATGAATGGAAACTGGCTCATTGGATTAATTGGTACTATATATGTATCTAGCAGTGCCTGTACTGTATGTAGTTCGTTATTAGATCGACATGGAGGTTCTGTGAAAGGGCTTGATGATGAGGTTTTGGAGGTGACACTGTGTGCGCTGTAGTGTTGGCTAGAGAGGAATATATATAAGATTTTTTGTAGGGTTAGAAATTTCAGTGGTAGCATTGAGTCTGGTCGCTTTTTCAATGGTCACGTAGGAAGGAAGCCAGCTAACTCTTATTGTTGTTCATTTGATTTTGTTGCAACTTTTCATTTTTGTTTAACATTTTTTATGTGTGCTTCTTGTTGGAATAGGCTTATGGAGTGCACATGAATGGCTATGTTGAGAAGGATGGGAAGAAGTTTCTATGGATAGCGAAGAGAAGACAACAGAAACCCACTTATATTATATATATCTCCAGGGATTCTTGATCATCTAGTTGGTGGTGGACTGGTTTGTAATGGGCTTTCATCTCGCTTTAAGGCATTTTAGTTTCTATTCTATCAATATTTAGGCTGCTCAGTGGGAGCTTGCTTGAATAGTTTGCTTTTGGTATCTAG